ACCACACAAGAAGTTATGCCCTTTCAAAGTTGGGACTAAAATAAGTGTAAAATGAAAAATGACCATATGACCGTAACTTTTAAAGAAAAACTGGGCTCAAATTTTTAAGGCAATCAATCCAGAAACTATTTTCTCTATTTTCTCTCAAAATTTTATCCAAAAGCTTTCCATTAACTTAAAATCACTTGATTTTAATTTTTCTACAATTAGTTATGAATTTTTGAAGTTTGCCACATTTTTGGGTTACAATGAATAGTAATCCGCAAAAAAAAAATTTTCAAACTTGATTTTTCATAACTTATAGTCTTCAAAAGTGATTCCAAATGCTTCTGCAAGGCAATTTAATTGGTATAAATATAAGGTGTTACATATCTCACCTGAAGGATTGGGAAAAATTGAAGAGGTGGAATCATCTTGTTTGGCAAAGAGAAAATCGAAGAGGTTATTCCCACCTACGTTGGCATTGTTGGAATACAGAGGTAGAGAATTGACCTATGTCTTGCATCTAGCAATCCTTCTTCGTTATTCTCTTGTGAAAGTGAGGTCCTCCTCCATCTGCTGCTTTTTCTTCTTCTTTCATTATTCATTCTATCAATTCAGCATATTTTGTCAACTAACTATCAAACATAACACAAATAATAATTAGGGTGAAATTGTTGTGATTTGAAAATTTTTGAGGCAATATTTCAAATACCCTCTTAAAAAAACTTTTATGAATAATTTGCAACTCTAAAAAACGATGTGGATGATTTATGGACCTAGTAGTTTGGCATATTTGATCAATTAACAGTCAAATTTAACTTAGATAATGGACCAAGCAATATTGCTACAATTCGAAAGTTTTCAGGGTAGCATTAAACCCAATAAAACTTCTATATGCTTAACACTTCTAAGAGAAATCTGTTGGGACAAATTTGCACTTAACCCCATATTTTTCATAACATATTTTGATTTTAAAAAAAAGCCAGAAGAAGATGATTGGAAAAAAAAATCATACCACCAGCATGCCTGGCATAAAAAAAATATAATTAAAGGAAACAACAATGAAATTATAAATATAATATGTCCAAATACTATTATTCAAAATGAAAGAACATTTTCTCTTTTTTCCTCCCTAACATTCTTTTAGGCTTAGTTTTCACTGTCCATCAATACGATAAGATTTGGATGTAATATATGGTTCTATTTTACATTTTTTAATTTTTAATTCAAATGATAAAATCATTTTTAAAGAGTAATTGTAACGAGAATATTTTTATTTTAAATCATGTATCCATTAAAATTATAAGTGATCAAAAATATAATAATAAAAAATTATATCTGAACCGCCCAATTTTAATATAAGCAATACAAGCTTGTGTTCATAAACTAAGATGATGATCATTGAAACTTTCAATATTCTTTGCCTCCTAATTTAGGGTTGTTAGTGGCAGTCTCACTCAAGAAGGGGTGAATTGGGTGAGTTATAAAAATTTATGAAATTAAAACAAAGAACTATCGGAAACAGAGAGTGTGAGTTTAGAATGATTTCACCATAGAGAGGAAGACACAAGATTTATACTGGTTCGGTCTCAACCACTTGACCTACATTCAGTCCTCAGAACACCTCTAAGTATTTCACTATGTTCCAAGATTGATCGGGCTCTTGGCGCCTCAGTACAGTAACTGAAGCTCTCAATCACTCCCCTTTACTTCCCGTAAGGTTACAACCCCACTCAAGAGTCCACACCCTTAAGTGTCACACAAACGTGATTAATGAGTAGTAAATAAACTTTCTTCCAGAGTGAATAAATAATAATCACTGACACTCGGAGTTATGAAAGAACAGAGTATTGAATGCAACAGTAAAAATCAACAGAGGGTAGCTCGCGTATTCAATCTATTCATTTAATGCTTCTTCGTGCCTTTTATAGTTGAGGTCATTTAGTAACCGTTAAATGGAAGAGCTTCTAGCCATTGTAAGTCTGGTTGCGTGTTTTTCCAGTTGCAACGGTTTCCGCCATTAATGCTTCTGACAAGGTAGGTTACAGACTACTTGGACAACCGTTGGAGTGCCGTTGGGATTTTCTTCGTAATCTGCAAAAATACATTAATTCAATAAGTTTATTCTTCGTAGAATAAGATCAAGAGTAGATCCGAACAACTGATAATCGAATATTCATAGCTTATGGTTAGAATCAATCAGTTGTCAGATGCACTGGGTAGTAACTAACATGCTTGATCGAAGTGATGTTCGATTATTACTTGATCGATTAGGTTATCGATTATTCTGAGTGAAAACTTTTGAACCAAAGAACTAAGATTATCGATCAAGTTATGAATCAACAGTTTATCGATCAGGTGATCGATAAAGAAATAGTGATATCATACTATGATGCATAGACAATGAAGATCAAAGTTGCTTTTGATTTTGACACTCTTTAAATAGTGAAACAAGACATTTATGAAGGCTGAGAAAAGCTCGAATGAAATATATGATAAATTTTGAGAAACATCGAGACTTAAGGTTTAAACTGAAATCACCTCATGATCGAACACTTGTTGATCGATCAGGTTATCGATAAATAGAGTGTTAAAGAAATGACTTTTGAAACACTAATTATCAAACACTTTATCGATAAACAGATGATGGATAACCTTATCGATAAACAGTAGGCAAAAGTATATTTTGTGAAAGCACAGACTATGTAAGTTGATCGAATAGATATCGATAAAGGGTTGATCGATAATGTTATCGATAAAGAGTCTTTTCTTGTAAAACAAAAGAGCTGATTTATCGATCAAGTTATGTGAAAACAACGTAAACATGAAGGGTGGTTATCGATAAGATTATCGATAATCTGATTATCGATCCGGTGATCGAAGAGCCATGATGTGACAAAGATATGTTGATTATCGATCATGTGATCGATAAGCCACTGAAATAAATTCCTGTACAAAAGTTATGAGGTAATGTTCGATCATATTATTGATAAATGGTTGATCAATAATGTGATCGATAAATGGCGATAAAAGCAAAATATAGAATGAGTAAAGTGCATTACCATTTATCTGTCTTCCATCGATAATTGGTTTATCGATCATGTGATCGATAAACACCTATTAAATTTGTATTCCGATTATCGATCAAGTGATCGATAATTTTCATATGCAACTAAGAATGATCGATCAACACATTATCTAACACGTTATCGATCAAAGTTTCTGCTGAGTTTACTTAATTAAACAGAGTTATTATCTATCAGCTTATCGATAAAACCTTGATCGATCAGATGATCGATCAACATGCTGAATCACAATTTACTCACTTTGTTATCATCAAAACCTTAATCCTAACATTCTCCCCTTTTTGATGATGACAAAACATACGTAAAAATATTAATCAAATAACATCAGAAACAGTAAAATTAAGCAGTAGACAATCGAAGTAAAAATATACTTTACTGAAGGCATCAGCTGTCAAAATACATCAGTAAAACTTAGTAAACTCAAAACACATAGCTAAACATCAATAAAACATCATAGTAAAAGTAAAAAGAGACTCTAAGCATCAGAATCCTTCTCCCCCTTTTTGTCAGCATATGGTGGGGAAGAGGAAGGAGTAGAAACAGGTGGAATGGACAGGGGAATAGGAAGAGGGGGAAGGTGAGAAAGTGGAGAGAGTGATGGAATATAAAGAGAGGGAACTGGCTGGGGAACAGTGATCAGGGCCAAAGTAGGAGAGGGAGTGGGAGAGGTAGATGGTACAGATAGTGAAGTGGAAACAGGAGAAGTGGGGATAGTAGAGGTAGAAGGTCCAGGCTCATGATGAGGAGGAGATGGGGGATGATGGAGTAAGTCCTCAAAGCTGAAGGTAGTGCTAGGGAGGCTACCATCCCTTTGAGCTCTCGAATTTCTCTGTCAACATAATCAAATCTCTGAGAAACCTCCTTTTCCAAAACCATCATTGCTTGTCTGTGAAGATCTAGGATTTTGGAAATGCCCTCAAACTTTCTATCTAAGACTTCCCCATATTCTCGAGCAGTGACATAAACTCTCTTCTCAAACTCTTGAAGCTCGGCCTGAAACATCTCCCTGAGAGATCTCTCCATGAATGAGGGTCCAAGGGCATGAAGGAGCTGCAGTGGATTCGGCCTCATCCTGAGTCTTAGAGGTGCTGACAGCTGGTTGCTTCCCCTTGTCCTTCTGAGGTACCTTTTGAGATGGTCTGAAAGGCAGAGGAATCCTCATCTTGTGCAACTGTGTAATCCCAAAAGCAGGAACCTTGGTCTTAGACTCTCCAGGCTCAAAAGGGGCAATGTTGTTTGCCTGTAGGATGTATGTGGCCAATTGAGGATAGGGGATCGGTGTAGATTTGGATTTGTTGAGAATAAAATCCTTCATCTCATTATAGATCAAAGCCCCTATATTAATCCTTTCTCCACTGATTATCCAGGCCAGTAACAAGTAATCATCTTGAGTTAAGTGTGAGAAGCTCCCATATTTGTTGATCATACTTCTTGAATAGATATAGTGGATTATTCTATAATAATCACACATCTAATTAGGTGGGAAATTTAGCTCACCGGGGTACTCATCACTTTGCATCAAAATCTTATAAGCCTTAATTTCATTCATATCTCCCCCTCTCACCGAATCTTGAGTTCCCAGCAACTCATTAATCTTATCAGCAATAAGGTGGAAGGTTCTACCTCTAAGTTTGACCCTTAAATAGTCATTTACCAGATTGTCCTGCTCATCATATTTTCTACTGATTCCATGTTACAGTAGAACCTTTTAATCACCTCAGGACAAAATTCTCCACCAATTATCAGCCAGTTGGAATAGTATTCCAGGGGATCACTCAAGTCCAAATTAATCTGAGTATTTTTCTTTAAGCTTTCTATATCCACAGAAACAACAGGGCAAAATCTCCGGTTTGTAAAATCAACCTTAAACTTAGCCGAATTCACTTCCTTATCAAGGTTTCCAACTAGTAGTTCAGAGAAATCAAATGGAATACCTTCAGAGGGAATTTGTCATGCCATCCCTTCACTGGCTCTTTGCTTTTTCTGCCTCGGTTGCTTGGGAATGGAAATTCTCAATGCGGCCTCCATAGCTTTCTGAAATGAGGCTCCATCATCTGACTCGGTTTCTGATTCCTCAGTGACTACCAGCAGCTTGGATTTGGACCAGGGAGATTTTCTTGGAGGAACAGGTTGCTCTTCGGTCCGACTTTCTCAGATTTTCAGGACACCTCTTGTCTTGGATGATTCTTCCCTCACTTTCGGTCTATATCACTTCCGAGTGCCCGAGGGAGTAGTGTCGCTCGATTAGACTTGCTTCTCCGAGCCTTCTTCCCTTTCCACATTCGGCTGTTTCACCCGTGCCATTTCTGAGGAACCGACGAATTTCAGAGAGAATAATTGGTTGGAAGTAAGTGTTTTGAGGTTGGTGGTGGTCAAAAGGTGGTAGAGTTGGATTCGAGTAGATAGGTGATCGGAAATTTAATAGAATAGTGATTTTTGGACCGTTGCTAGAAACAGAGGAGCGGTTTTGATTGAGTTAGGGTTCGATAACTAATGGAGGTTTTTGAAACTTTTAACATTATAAAGTTCAAAATTATCGATAATGTTATCGATTAGCGGATGATCGATCACGTATTCGCTAAATATGAAGAACACATAAGAACACTGAAGACAATTATCGATCACGTTATCGAATAATCAATTATCGAACATGTTATCGATAAAGTTAGTAGAGGAAATGCGTACCTAGTCTTTTATCGATCATTTGATCGATAATCCGTTTATCGATCAGCTTATCGATTAATGCTTACCAAAATTTGAGTATATGTCACAAAAGACTTACCGCTCCTGATCGATGTTCTGATCGATAATCCATTTATCGATCAGCTTATCGATAATAATCATTCTGAATCTCTTCATTTTCCACACATGCTGTATTTATCGATCAAGTGATCGATAAATTACTTCTATGTGGCTTCATGACTATCTATCTCTTGTTCGATCATTCCATACTCTGTCTACCTCTGTTTTTCTTCGATAAAGCAGAGCTTCCTGCAAAACAAATTTCTATCCACTCCAATGCTTAAGTTAGTTATTTAATCATCAAAACATTAAATTTAAATATTAAAATTTGAGAGATAATGTGAGATTTCTTACAACTCATTGGGATTTACCATTCCCAATTCTCTTCGAAAGAAGTTGAACTTCTGTTGATCTAGAGGCTTCATGAAGATGTCGGCTATTTGATATTCAGTGGGGATGAATTCTACCTTCACATCTTTCTTTTGAACATGATCCCGAATGAAATGATGTCGAACATCTATATGCTTAGCTCGGGCATGATGGATTGGATTCTTGGATAGACTTATCGTACTCGTGTTATCACATAGGATTGGAATCTCTTATAAGTTGATTCCTAGATCTTGTAGTTGTTACTTTAACCATAGAATCTAAGCACAACAACTTGCAGTGGCCACATATTCTGATTCTGTTGAGGAGATTGCCATAGTATTCTGCTTTTTGCTCGACCACGAGACAAGGCACCCTTTGAAAAATTGACATTGTCCACTGGTGCTTTTTCTATCTGTCTTATATCCTCCATGATCTACATCTAAGTATCCCATTAGGTATTCTGCTCCCTTCTTTTGATACCAGATTCCCAGATTTTGACTTCCGGCAAGGTATCTAAGAATTCTCTTGACGGCTTCTTCGTGGGACTCTCTTGGAGCTGATTGATATCTTGCGCACATTTCCACACTGAATTGTATATCTGGTCTACTAGCCGTGAGATATAGTAATGAACCAATCATTCCTCTATATCTGGTCAGATTCACGTCCTTGTCGTTTTCATCTACGTCTAGCGAGATGGTTGAGCTCATCGGAGTTTTTACACTTTTGGCATTTTCTAATCCATATTTCTTTAGCAACTCCTTCAGATACTTCATATGGGATATAAATATGCTATTTTTCTTCTACTTGATTTGTAATCCCAGAAAGAAATTCAGCTCTTCCATCATTGACATTTCAAATTCTCCCTGCATTAGCTTAGCAAACTCTTAACAAAGATCTTCATTAGTAGCTCCGAAAATAATATCATCTACATAAATTTGAACAATCAAAAGATCTTTCCTACTTCTTTTAATGAAAAGAGTAGCATCTACTTTGCCTCTTTCAAATCCTTTTCCTATCAGAAAATTGCTAACACGTTCATACCAAGCTCTAGGACCTTGTTTTAAACCATACAAAGCCTTTTTCAGTTTATAAACGTGATCAGGAAAGTTTGAATCTTCAAAACCAGGAGGTTGCTCGATAAAAACTTCTTCTAAAATATATCCGTTCAAAAAAATTTTTAACATCCATTTGATATAGTTTGAAATCTTTAATGCAAGCAAAGGCTAAGAGTACCCGTATGGCCTCCAATCTAGCTACTGGAGCATAAGTTTCTTCATAATTGATCCCTTCTTCTTGATTATATCCTTTAGCCACCAATCTGGCTTTGTTTCTGATGATTTGTGCAGATTCATCGAGCTTATATTTTGAATACCCATTTGGTGCCTATGACCGGATGATTATTAGGACTGGGTACCAGTTCCCAAACTTGGTTTCTCTCGAATTGGTTAAGCTCTTCCTGTATTGCGACTATCCAGAATTTTTCGGATAGGGCCTCGTCAACATTGGTAGGTTTAATGTGGGATATGAACGCTGAGAAGCACACTTCATTGAATACTTGTCTCCTGGTTTTGACCCCTTCATTGACTTTACCAATGACTTATTCTAATGGATAGTCTCGGTTATGTCTCCAAGCCTTAGGCTGCTCTAAATTTTCTTGTGAAGAAGATTCATTTAAATTATTTTTGTTTTCTAAATGTTCTTCTGAAGGTAATTTGTTTGAAGACTTGTTTAAATCTAATTTTTGAAAATTTTGAACGATCTCGGCATCGTCATCTAGAGGTTTTGAAATCAGTTCGGTTTCAGCAAACACAACATGAATTGATTCTTCAATTGTAAAGGTATGTTTGTTGAATACCCTATAAGCTTTACTACGATTAGAGTAACTAAGAAATAAACTTTCATCAGCTTTAGGATCGAATTTACCCAGATTCTCTTTGTTGTTGTTGTGAATGTAGCATTTACTCCTGAAGATCCTTAAATGAGCTAGGTTAGGCTTTCTTCCTTTGTATAGCTCATACGGTGTTTTCCCGAGTAGCGTTCTGATGTAGGCTCTATTGGAAATGTAACAAGCCGTGCTTATTGCTTCTGCCCAGAATACTTGTGAAATTCCTTTCTCATTCAGCATTGCCCTTGCCATTTCTGTGAGCACTCTATTTTTCCGTTCGACGACACTGTTTTGTTGAAGAGTTCTTAGTGCTGAAAAATTGTGCTCAATTCTATGCTCGTCACAGTAGTTTGGGAATTCGTTGTTTTCAAATTCTTCTCTATGATCAGATTTGATTGACACAATGGAAATACCTTTCTTATTTTGGACCTTTTTGGCAAAAACAATAAATGCATTAAACGTTTCATATTTAGAGGAAAGAAACAAAGTCCAAGTGAATCTTGAATAGTCATCAACTATCACAAGAGTGTACAAGTTTCCATCGAAACTTTTCACTCTCAACGAACCAACCAAATCCATATGAAGCATTTGGAGTGGCCTTTCGGTTGAGACTGTCTTCTTTGATTTAAACAACGACTTTGTTTGTTTACCTTTCTGAGAGGCGTCACAAATAATATCATGTTCATACTGAAGTTTTGGTAAACCAACAACCAAATCCCTTTTAGTTAATTTTGAAAGTTGATTCATGTTAACATGTGCAAGACATTTATGCCAAATCCAATGAAAGAGAGCCTTAATTGTCGTTCGCCTTGGGGTTCTCAATCAAAAATAAATCCAAGCTATGCAGTATAGTGCAAACTCAGGTCGTTTCACTTTTGGGAGCCTTTATTAATTACCTAAGCTAGACTAAATGCCATGCAATGCAATGAAATGGGGTTTTGGGTTTTTAAGACTTAAATGAATGGTGCCTAAACTAAATGCAATGAAAACAAACCTAAGATACTATATTTTTGGTGTTTTAAGATAATAATGATGGAATGGAAATGAATGGTAGGAAACCCTTGAAAATGGTTTTGATGGCAATCATAGTTCACTTAAAATATTGGGAGTTTCACAAATCCATTAGGTTTTCTTAACGAGAACCTCATTAACTCAATGAGTCCAAAGCTTACATTAATGAGCTCATTAATGAAACCTTTGTTTAGCTCCCCTAATGTGTAATTTTGGAATGATCATGCAATTGGCTCAATGAAACACACAATCAACTCAATACCCAAACACAACTATGCAAGATAAGAGAGAATCATGAGAGTTACAAT